GAGGAACAGTTGAATCTGAGAGGAAAACCTGGGGAAAAAAATTTCAATGGACTAGATATATGATAAAAATGAAATTCAAGAAAATTACACAGAAGAAAAGGGGGCTCAAAATAGGAAAACAATCACACGAGAATTTGTTTCAAGGACTATCCAACAATCCTAAAGAATTCCCAGCAGACTACAGATCATGTCTATGGGTTTGTTTAAAATGTATTCATTTAAGGTACTTCGAATAAAACGAAGTACAACGAAAACTCGATACTACCGGCATAATCAGTTCATCATCGGATCACACATAAGTAATAAAAACACCAGTGTCTATGAATTTACCGAAGTTCAACCAGCACATATGAAAATAAGTACGGCACAAAGGCAAACACACAGCAGGACTTTTAACTACACACAAGCAAATCACATACCACAAACCTACAAGCATTAAATATGTTCATCAATTTCTTTATCCACACTTATCCACAGGAACGCCAATAAACCCGCACATGAGACAGAAAATTAAATTAACAGAAAAAAGAACTGATAAGACGAGATAAGATTTAAATCAATAACAAGTATTCTACAAGAGAGTGCAACAAAAGGAGCATTTCTTTAAACAACAGTAATCAAGCTCTCCCAGTAATCAAACTCTCCCACTGCAAAATCAAAAGACCACACGGAACTGGGGCGCGTCTGAGCCACTCGCCGGCAGAATCTCCCACCGGCAGGGCTCGAGCTCTTCGGAAACGGGACAGTAGCCGGCCAATGTCACTTTATCGGTGGAGGCCGCGACGGAACCGAATTCGAAAACCGAAACATCGGCGACGCCTGGCGGCCTTCGGACCTCCACCGCCCCGTTCATGCCCGGAGCCTCCACAGCTACAGGCGGGTTCGGGTCGGTTTTTGGGGTCGGAGCTGGATCTGCCTGCTTGCCTTTGCTGAACCAGGATAGAATTCCCATTTGGCTCAGTCGGTAGGGTTTCGCGTTATCACAATTCACAGAGTGCTTTGCATAGAGGAAATTTTTGTAGTTTCGTAATGACAATATTATCTTTGACTTCACCTCAAATAATTATAAAGGTTATTATTAGTGGGCCTTCAATAAAAAGCCCAATTTTAGATGTTAAATATTTAAGCCCAAAAGTGGGTAATTATTTTGGAAAATTTTCATTACAAAATCTAGTTATATCTAAATTTTTACTTTCTGAATTGAGAGTAATTTTTTCTTATTCTCATGTATTTATTAAAAATATTGGCTAAAGTACATAAATGTTTACAACGTCTAGGCATGTCAATAAAATCCACAAGGTCAAATTACCCGTGGGTTACCAGCATTTTCGAGTTGGGTAAACCATCGATGAGTTATGTAGAAAAACTCATTATCTGACCCGATTACCCTACCTGTTTACCCACGAGCATTGAATCTTATATATATATATATATATATATATATATATAGCTTATTATAAATATAAAAGTAGTGGTTAATTTTTTTTATTTATTTTTTTATCAATTTTTGTTTTAGTTGTACAAAAAGAAATTAAATACTTATTTGTTGTAAAAACTTATATTTTGTGACTACATAAGTATGATAAATAATAATCAATCAGGAAATTTAATTTTAGAACTTGTATTTTACATACAAAATTTGTTGTAAATATTACCAACTAATACTAATAGTTTATCATCCATGAAAAATGCAATGTATAAGAATAATCGTCTAAAGTTAGTTTAATATATGAATATAAACTACAAAAATTTATAATTTAAAAAGAGTTAAAAAAAACTAAAATTAATGAGGCTAAATATACTTCTTTTGTCTAAATCAAGAATTGAAAAAAGATTAGTAAATATATAATATATTAGTAAAATTTAAACAAAAGGTACTTCTTCCATACTAGTATACTTATATTATTATATTACTAGTACGGTGCCCGTGCGATGCGCGGGAGTATTTATTATATATATATTTTTTAAAATATAGTTTTGTGTTTAAATTGTCTCATGCCATTAAAAATTTCACGAAAATATATATGTTATTAAACACTTCCTTATGTACAACATTATTGATTTGATTCTTTGGCACGTAAAGTACTACATAGGTGTTCGAATTAATTCAAAATTGCATATTATTAGTTATTAGTTCACAAATTTTAAAAAAAATTAAAGGATATTATTTATTGAACAAATTTAAAGTAGAAAAAAAATTAAAATTTTTTAGGAATTTTCATCCATTATTTATTTTAAATCTAATTCTAAATTTCAATTAAGAAAAATTGAAAAGAATCGTTAGTTAGTCCCGGAAACGAAACCGATTTTCTTACCAATAAACTGATTTTTTTATCAAACAAATTGATCCGATTTTTTTAAACCAAATAAAAAAAATCATCAATTTTTCCTAAAAATGCAACCAAATTTTCCTAACATTGCACCAATTTTTGTACCAAACAAATTGAATTGAAAATAATTCTAATAAAAAATTAAAATAAATTGTTAATGTTTATGCAACTGTCTCTTTCCTACATAAAATGATATGAACTTACCAAAATCTCGGTAAAACATGGTTAAGAAAAAACATAAGAATCCAAAAAAATCGATGCATTTAAATTTTGAAAAGTTGCACATAATTTTTCCTAAATAATTGGATAAGGTGACTTTAAATATCAATGATGAACCGCTTTTGTTACCAAAAAATGTGGACACAATTTTGAATGTACATCCCGTCCAAATATCAGTTTTATTTTAAAATAAAAATTTCATGTGGCTTTATCCAATTTACACAATTTTTTTGAAAAAAAAAATTATTCAATAAGATTGGAAGAATTGGTTAAGAATTATACAACTATTTGCTTCCTAAATTTGTATCCAATTTCCACGATTTTTATATTAATTTGTATTTAGAATTGTTTTCAAAAATAATTGACACATTTTTTGCATAAGAAATCTCCAAATTTGTTACCAAAAAAGATATGATTTAAATTTTTGGTAAAAAAATAAAATATGATACGAAAAATATGGGATTCAAATTTTTCCATAAGAATCGCCAATTTTGTTACCAAAAAATAGGAATTACATTTTGTTACTAAAGATTCACATGTGTTTTTTTGAACTTTCTATTAATAGTAAGTCAAACATTATATTTATTTGGTCAAACTTTCTATTAATGTATTTTTCCAACAACCTCTTTATATATATGAAAAGTCTTATATTTCAAATTTTCATCATTTTAGATATATATTATTAAATTTATTATAGCGCATTATCCCTATTTAAATGATTTATTATTAACTAGAATATAAAAGATAAATAATTATATCTCATTATTTATTTCAAAAATAATGTAAATTTTTTTATAGTTATTTTATTGTCAAACTTAGTTAATAAATTGCTAGTTACATTATGGTATGTAAAACCTCGGACTGGCTGGGTTCGATCTTCCTTGCCTTCCTCACCGATTAAAGACCTGTTAGACCTACAAAAACTCAATGCTGGGGATGTTTCTTGGTGAAAAGCCTCTGACGCTCAAGTCAGAAAGTGAAGAAAATGATGAACAATAGCACAATACTGTAAATAGAGTGTGTAGAGAATGTGATGTTACAATGGACATACCTCACCCCTATATATAGAGGTGTGTTACCTTGTTGCCCAAGGCTGCCCGTTTGAGCTGTCCAGACTGCCCAAATTGCCCGTCCGTACTGCCTGAATTACCCAAACTGTCAAATTATGTTCGGCCACGTGGCCCTATCCACGTTTGGTTCTTATCATAATAATATTCTTTCTTATCCATGTCTTATCAGATCGTCTAATCGTGCAACTGAACCAATTCACCTCGAGATAGAGTGCTGCATGTACTAAGTACGTATGCTATGCTCTTCTGGTCTATCTATCGACTAGTCTTGCCTTCAGGTCGAGTTTCAACTAGGCCATCTGAGGACCATAGTTCAACCTGTTAGTGCTCCTTCGAACTTGTGACGTCCTCATCAACCTGAGGACTCATTATAGTTCTGTTTGACCTCCGTTCGGTTTGGCTGTGGCTCCATTCGTCCAACCGATTTGCTCGATCCATTTGACAGGTTTATTGGGTCTATTCGACCCGGTATGGTATTATATATCATCTGGTCCCCCTACTCTGATCTAGTTATCTTAACTCGATCTAAGAGTAAATTTTTGTTTTTTCTCTTGCTTGGTGAGTTACAACTTCTATCCTTCGACCAGAATGCTGGAACTTCTTTCAATTCTGAAGCAATGTTTTCAAACTTCCATTGTGGTCTTGAATTCAAATTTTGAAATTCAAATCTCTGCCCTTTGTTAGACTAGTCAGTACCAACGTCTTGTCGATGTAACCGCCTCGTAGTCTGTGATGCCCTCGTTCAACGTACCCATTAAGTACTCCTTTAATAGCGACCCTTCAATCTTCCTTCCATCCAATAGTTAAGAACATGCTATTTAATGAGCTCACCCTCTTTAATCACGACCGTTGATTTCGACCACGATCCAACGGTTATGCTTGGCCTATCTTTTCAACTTTGCCATTTTAATCTTGACTGTTGATTTCGACCACGATCTAGCGGCTCTGCTGGACCTGTCTTTTCAACTCTCCTGTTTGATCTTGACCGTTGATTTAGATCATGATCCAACGGCCAAGGTCGAAATCACAATTTGTGGGTAATTCAGACCACTTAAATCACAATTTTAAATCTCCAAATATAAACCCTCCGAATTTTGCCACATGTCGTTATGTTATTTTCTATTTATTTTGGATGATGCAGGCAATATTTATAGCGTTAGATTTTACATTAGATTTTTTGTGTTACTTTTTTTTATTATATGTTTTTTGGGCAGAAAGTCTATGGTGTCCACGTGGGCACCATAAGCCATGCCACAATGTGGCATATTCATTAGATTTATCAATTCCATAAATCCAATATGGATATTTGGTGGCTTTTTTAAATAATCATATTATTACAGACACAAAAATTTAAACTTCTGATCCATTTTAAACATAAACCAATCATATCTGCTCTTCTTGCATCGACACTATGCTTGGAACAACGGGAACGGTTCCACACCTCTCCAGCAGCATCACCCTTTGCTCGTTCAGAAAGAATAAGTACTTCGAAAGTCTCATAGCCGAAAGTTCCAGCATAGACAAAAGCATCGCTAAAAGTTCCAGCCTCGAGCACGTGATCAGCCGGTGCAAATCATCATATGTTCATTAATGACATTTTTTGCTGTTATTTCATACCTCTTACAAGAGCTCAAGGAATGTTCTCGTGGCCTTCTTAGCATTCTCAAGTGCTTTTGCTTGACGTGTTTTGCGTTTTGTGATTTTGCTTTGCTTTTCCAGGTACACTGCGTGATAGAGCACATGACAGGATCAATAATCAATAATGAAACAATTACCGTGGGAAAAATCCTAAGAGAAAGTATAGAGCTTGGACAAAAAGTTGAGAAATGAACAAAAAGTGAATGCAAATGAAAGTCAAGTACAATTTGTTAAAAACTAACAGACAAGATGAATTTGTACCTGTGATGTTCATAAATACCTCTAACATTCATATGATCAAAAAAAGACTATGGAATATACATTCTCATTTGCCTTTCAATTAAACATCCTACATGGTACAGAAGCATATTTTCTTTCACATGGGAGTGTGCACTTAGATCATCATTTCAAGAAAACGGATGATGATGCATGGGAACTTTAGTTCAAGTCTATAAAAGGTTACTCTGCCATGTAAACATAAAATTTAATGCATTCAATCATCTCAAACTAAAGTGTTCCTTGGATGGAAAGGGAAGTTGGCAAAATGTAAGAGGAACGTCGAAACAAAACAAAACGAATAACTAAACTAAATGGCTAACAATGTTTCAGAAACGATTATCAGTACTACAATAAAAAGAGGTAAAATCCATCCTGGAAGACAAAAAATATGGCATACAAGCGGCTATACAAGATCAGTAAAAGAAAACTGATAATCCGGCAAAATTAGTCCAGCGACAAATTAACGGCCTTGTAGCCGATAAATTCTCCGAACCCGCACCTCTGGACCGCGTCAAAATCCTTATACAGGTTATCTTCCTCCATCGACAAGCCTTCTCCCTGAATTTCCTCTTCTTGCAATTAGACAATTTGCCCTCTTTGCGAGGCCAAAATCCCCGAGGTGAACTCGGTGCTAATCGTCCTGTTTTTTCCGTTTATTGGCACGTGTAGAATATTTACTTGGATTTAGATCACAGTGAACATGACATGACCCGACCCATGAATGTGGTACAAGCCTCTGAGCAGGGACCGTGTGTGCATCTTCACCTTAATTTCGGGCAGCATTAGGCCACTAAATTATCAATTCGGGCGGCTAGGGTTCCACCAGCAGCGTACTCATACAGCAGATTATACAAGGGCCGTCAGGAAGGAGGAATAAGAGGCGACGACACTTTTCAAGGCGTTGATTGACCATAGCAGTTGCGCTTGTCAACGAAGGTGCCGACCAGCCCAAGCTCCCTCCTCCCATCGAATCGCCGCGGCCACCAATTCGCCGGAAAAGTACAACAAAAATCTCGGCAACGGCGTGATTGTGGCCACAGCGGTGGCGTCGATGAGTGGGGTCGTGAAGTTGAAGTGGATTGCTTGTAGAATGATTTTGGTAAGAAAAATCTTTAAAAAAAGCCACCTACTTGACTTTGTCTAACTTTATTTTACAATAAATCAAGTACTCCCAAGTACTTGATCATCTCATAATCAACTTTGTAAGACAACTTGAGTATTTTCTTGTCTCGTATTTCTCAAAAAACGATTTCATTGTTGGGACTTGAGGTGATATGAATGAGAATATTTGAATTTTTTGATTTAAAAAATTGTCTAGAATTCTATTTATTTTATATTATTTGATTTCAAAAACTGTCTATTAGAATTTAGAATTCTTGACCATATCAAGTTGAACAAACTTTTCTTTTGTTAGTTACAGCTTGGAGCTGAGCTTTATTATTTCATTGTTTGGGTAAGCCCACCAATAAAAGTGGGCCTAGACCAGGCCCATTAGATTCACAAGTCACTCAGCGATCACATCTGAAAGTCTTGGCAGGGATTTTTTCTCTTTTTCTGCTTCACCACGCACTCGGCCATACAGACACACACAGCGAAAATGACGAAATTCGGGAAGCTCAATCGACCCACAGGCCACAGAATGTCGATGCTTAGGTAAAAGATTTTTGTTTTTTTTTTTGTTTTTGTTTTTGTTTACATCTTTTCCTTTTCTTTTCATTTATTTCTTTGTTTCTTTTTTCCCTTCGCGGGAAGCTTGCTTAAAGATCTGATTTTGTTCGTATAGGACAATGGTCTCGCAGTTAGTGAAGCACGAGCGGATTGAAACAACTGTTGCTAAGGTATCTTTGTATTCGATTATTTTACCATGATTTATTTGTGTCTCTTTAGGTTTTGAAAGTGTAGGGCTTTACCGGGGGTTTGCTCCTTTGATCAGAGTGGTCTAAGAAACTCTCATCTGGAGTGGTAAATTGATATCAGTGGCAATTTATAGAGAAAATGAAATGTTTTCGTGCAAGATAACATACTCTGGCTCTAAGTTACTGGAAAACGTCGAATGCAAAATGTAACTTTTCTGCTCCAGATTTCAGCTTTAAATATGATTTGTGCCACAAATGAGTGAAACTGGATATACGTGACCGAACTTTAGTTCTCCATAGTGAAAACCAGAGTAAATAAGCTGTCTGATGTTTAAGCAATAATTTCTTATTAGCATGACATGCTAAACAGCCTGCGCAGGACCTTTTTAGGTATTTTTAAATGTTAATGTGTTTTAGTCTTCTTCCCCTTCCCTATTTTTTTATTTCTTATTTTAAATTTTGTAGGCAAAGGAAGTTCGTAGGCTTGCTGATAATATGGTACAGCTTGGGAAAAAGGTACTTTATTATCTCTGATCTATATACTTTTTTGAATGTAATGTTTTACAATTAAGACTTGATTTTGAACAAATTCTGCATTATTCTATGCCTTCAATAAATTAGACTGTCAACTGCTAAAGTCTGGTTGAGCCACCAATAATTGAATCAATGCCAGATGATGTAGATTTTAGATTGGTTATAGCATGCGTCCAAGGTTTATAAAATGTGCTCAACTTTGGCTGTGGAATTTGTCCTGTCATGTTGGGTTTGTTTCACTGGTTTGTCCTGTTATCAGCCATTTCATTCTTATTTCTTAACTTGTATCGCAAAATATCTTTTCTTGGTTGCCACTGTGACACTGTAGTTTTGGGATAATATCTGCTATGAATATGAATGTAAAATGATTGTACATCTAGTGCTAAATTGTTGTTAGACAGTTTGGAAATTGTTGCATTAATATAAAATACATGAGACATGGTGCTTTTGAAGTTTTGATTACCCAAGTGTTTATCTTACTGCTTTAGTGAGGCTCCAACAGTTAAAACTTCTTCATTGGTCAGAGCTCATATGGTGGCTAATTTTGCATATGGACTCATACGCTTTTTAAGGCTGACTAAACAAATTTTCAGACACCTCCCATCTAAAAAAGAACTCTTGTTGCTAATTTTCCTATGTTTTTTTTATTGATGATAGGTAAAAGCCTGTCAATATATAAATAAACTAAAGAGGATTGCAGTAACAAATGTACTCAATTTTCTCTCTCGGATAAAAAATGTTTGCCCAAAAGATAATTTTATTCATGCGGCTCTTCCCAGTATTTAAGAAATTTTGTTATCATTATATAGCAAATGTAAAGTATGGGATAAGGAAGAATGATAACTATTGCAGATGAAGGTCACTCCCATAAATACATTAATGGACTTATTTATGCAATAAATTGATTAATGGTCACTTGTCTGCTAAATCCCATCTACACCAAAGACAATTTAAATAGAATAAGTTATGTTAGAATGAAGTTATTATTTCTTTTTACTGAACAAGATCTTAATCCAATTATATTGTAGATTCTAATCGAATTTCTGCAGTTAACAATCAAGCAAAATACAAGCTAGTATCAAACTATATGAAAGAGTAGTTTTGCTACAGGAGAAGCCCAAAATAACTAGTCAAGATAAAAGGTACCCTTTTTGCCCCTTTTCTGTATATTTTTCTTTCTTTTTTCAATGAACTTGATAATTTTTCATGCGATTTATGCACCCCAGACAAATACTCCGCCATGATAAACTACATATCAAAATTTACGAATTCGATGCTAATCCAATTTTGAATAAACAATATATAGAAAAGGTGTGTAAATAAATAGTATATAGAAAAGGTACAAACCTTATTGTGAATTGAAATCGGCGTCCCTCACCTGTGAATCTGAGTGGCCGTATTTCTCTTTCTCATTTATTCGGCTCAGTATAATAGATTTCCATCTCAAGATAAAGTTATAGGATCGAGTGGATATAAGAGATGAAGAAGAAAAACAAGAAAAATGAAATAAAATGATAAGAGAGGTAGAAGAAGAAAAATGAGGGAGGCGCAACTCATATGTATATATATATATATCCACACCCGACCCCATTCTGCGGCTCGGGTGCTTAAATTTTACCCGACCACAACCCAAAACCGACATGTTCAGGGAATCAAGTTTACGCGAAAAGAAAATTTGGGTAATTCAGACCACTTAAATCACAATTTAGAATCTCCAAATATAAATTCTCCGAATTTTGCTTCTTAATGTGTGTAATTCGTAAATAATTGTGAAGCAAAATATCTTTTCTCAGTGACACTGTAGTTTTGGGATGTATCTGCTATGAATATGAATGTAAAATGATTGTACATCTAGTGCTAAATTGTTGTTAGACAGTTCGAAATTGTTGCATTAATTTAAAATACATGAAACATGGTGCTTTTGAAGTTTTGATTGCCCAAGTGTTTATATTACTGCTTTAGTGAGGCTCCAATAAAACTTCTTCATTGGTCAGAGCTCGTATGGTGGCTAATTTTGCATATGGACTAATATGCTTTTGAAGGTTGACTAAACAAATTTTCAGACACCTGCCATCTAAAAAAGAACTCTTGTTGATAATTTTCATGATAGGTAAAAGCCAGTCAATATATAAATAAACTAAAGAGGATTGCACTAACAAATGTACTCAATTTTCTCTCTCGGATAAAACATGTTTACCCAAAAGATAATTTTATTCACGCGTCTCGGTTCTTCTCAATATTTAAGAAATTTTGTTTTCATTATATAGCAAATGTAAAGTATAGGATAAGGAAGAATGATAAGTAATGCAGATGAAGGTCACTCCCATAAATACATTAATGGATTTATTTATGCAATAAATTGATTAAGAAAGAAAATCATGTACACACGGTGTTGCGCTTGAATTACCCACATTTTGGAGATTTAAAATTGTGATTTGAAGATTTAAAATTCGGAGGGTTTATATTTGGAGATTTAAAATTGTGATTTAAGTGGTCTGAATTACCCACATTTTCTTTTCGCGTAAACCTGATTCCCTGAACATGCCGGTTTTGGGTTGTGGTCGGGTAATATTTAAGCACTTGAACCGTCGAATGGGGTCGGGTGTGGATATATGACAAAAAAAAACTGGCTTCATTTCTTCCTCCCATCCCAGACATCCTTACGAGTTGCGTCTCCCTCATTTTTCTTCTTCTACCTGTTTTGTCGTTTTATTTCATTTTCCTTGTTCTTCTTCTTCATCTGGATCCTTTGACTTTAACTTGAGATGAGATGGAGATCTATTATACTGAGTCGAATAAATGATAAAGAGAAATACGGCCACTCAGATTCACAAGTGAGGGACGCCGATTTCAATTCACAATAAGGTTTGCACCTTTTTATATACTATTTATATACACACCTTTTCTATATATTGTTTATTCAAAATTGGATTAGCATTGAATTCGTAAATTTTGATAGGTAGTTTATCATGGCGGAGTATTTGTCTGGTGTGCATAAATCGCATGAAAAATTATCAAGTTCATTGAAAAAAGAAATAAAAATATACAGAAAAGGGGGCAAAAAGGGTGCCTTTTATCTTGACTAGTTATTTTGGGCTTCCCCTGTAGCAAAACTACTCTTTCTATAGTTTGATACTAGCTTGTATTTTGCTTGATTGTTAACCGCAGAAATTCGATTAGAATCTACAATATAATTGGATTAGGATCTTGTTCAGTAAAAAAAATAATAACTTCATTCTAACATAACCTATTCTATTTAAATCGTCTTTATTCTTTCTTTGGTGTAGATGGGATTTGGCAGACAAGTGACCACTGTTGACACGAGATTGGTGGAGCCCAAGATGTTTGATAATCAAAAAATGCAGTCCGGTACAAAATTCAACCCTTCAACTTCAAAATTCAGACGTTGGGGCAGGGTTTCACCATTCGCCAGATATGGTCTTCCTATGATCTCACTCACTGTTCTTGGAGCTCTTGGACTCGGCCATCTACTACAGGGAAGGTTAGTGTGAGATGAATTAGAATTTCAGCCTGGACTCATGCTTGACTGCTTTCTTTGGCTACAGTAATTTTTCGTTTAAGTTTGTTCATTCAGAACATCAATACGAGAATGGTTTTATATTGTATGTATTTGTATTGTGATTGATCTTATATTATATATCTTTAATGCAAACCTCTAGGAGGTTTTGGTAATAGTTTTACAGCTGTGGAAGATCAATTGTATCTTTGGAATTAGTCTAAATGTCGGGTAGTTTATGTGAATGGTTATCTGTTAATGTGTACATAGTGCTGAATACAAAAGATGCAATAAAACTATTTTGTTTATATAAATCCCGTGATGGCATGAAGTTTCTAATTCAGCAAGGACATAGCTAAAGTGAAGGATGACCAAGAATGGGAGATTATTGAGTCAAAAAAAGCTCTATCCAGAATGGGACCTGTTGACGCCTATAAACCTAAAAAAATTTCGCTGCATGAAGAGCTTAAGGTAAAACACGATTATTATTTTATTATATTTGCCTTTATTATTTTGTAAGATGTATTTGGTGAGAAATATACCTTAGAGCTGAGATGTGTGCTTTACGTTACAGGCTTTGCAAGAAAAACTTGACATAGATAATTATCAATACAAGAAAATTCCGAGGCCCAAAGAGGGCAAATGAAGCCTAAAGATTTAGTGCAGTTCTTGAGTTTCTGATTGAAATTTTGTGAAGGCTTTGCAAGAAAAACTTGACGTAGAAGAGTATGAATACAAGAAAATTCAGAGGTTCAAAGAGGGCAAATGAAGCCTAAAGATTTAGTTAAGTTCTTGAACTTCTGATTGAATTTTTGTGAAACATGTAAAAATGTACTTTAGGTTTAGTTAAAGTTCAGTTTTGCTCTGTTGACTCTGTACTTTTGTCATTTATCTTATTAACTCAATGAAAAATGAAATCGCATAATTTGAGTATAAAATTTTGTAAAACTGAGTGCAGATGAGAGTTGCAGGCTTACTCCATTATTTCCTTACACAATGTGTGATACTATTGTTTTATCATATAAAGATACTAGGAAGCTCCGGCAGTGCCTAACACAGTCGGGATGGCCTGGTATTTGTGATTGTAAGAATTGGCATTTAAAAATTAATGTTTATCTCAACCTAGTTACGAAGCATGAGCTATTGTCACATAAAATCCCAAAGCATACATGTTTTATCATTTAGGCTCAAAACATTCGTAAATAATATAATAATGTCTAACTCGTTATTTTCTCATTAAAATTTTATCCTTCAACTTTACTATTATCAAATTTATTCTACTTAATAGATCATACTTTTTCAAGCAATTATCTCCATATTTTTTAGTCTTACAATAGTTTCCTTCGGATAGGTTTTGTGAAGATCGACTGAAAACACCAGCTCCTGAGGACTGGTATTCAAGTCCACAAAAACGAGTGAAGGCCACAAAACAAGGAAACCGATGCATATGATTAAACAATCAAGTGCAAGTATATTTAAGCAATAGAGAAGTAATTTACAGTTCAAATGTTATTGTAATTGAAATGGTAAGTACCAAATTCGTCAAGATTTAATCAAAACATAAAAATAAGGGAACCAAAACTCTGTATGTACATCCGACCATCACAAACGATATCATTTTCTCGAGTTCTTAGTTCGTTAGAGAGACCAAAGAAACTGAGAAGACAAGAAATAACTCCAGTTTTCATCTGAACCGAACAAAGACAACGTGCATTTTCTCAATAACTCAGAAGTCAAATTCTCCTGTTGCATGAAGTAGAAAACCAGGATTCAAATCCTCAGTTTTGTTAAGGATGAGCAAATAAACCAGAATTGGTCAAACTCCTTCCTAAAGGCGAAACGGACCTTGTTGAACAGAATGTCTTTGTTATTTATGTGCATAATGCCATCCTTCAAAGTGCACTTCCACCTGCTCTTGGTTCTTGTCACCTAAAATAAATAACCATATGAATGAGATAAATAAGAAATGTAAAAATAAAACAAAATAAAAATATAAAAACCAAAAATGGGGAAAAAAAGCAAGTAAAAAAAAAGCTTAGATTCGTACTTTGTCAAACTGCGCTAAAACCAAATGTGACGTGTTCAGGTCCTTGGCTTGGTCTCCATCATCCAAATCATCATCATCATCAATGGCTGTCTGAGCTGCGGCGAGGGCCGTACTCATCTCAACCGCCGCCCATTTTTCCCTCAGAACGACCTCCCTACTGTCCCTTTCTCCTCCCATCCACCACCTCCTCATATGCCCCTTGCTCGCCGCCGCCGCCGCCGCCGCCGCAGACCCCAAGAAGCGCGCTGCCGCAATCAGCTGCCTCATTTCCGACGTCGACGGTGGAGGGGTCTCCGGCTTCAGCTTCTCCGTCATAGCGAACATGCTGAAGAGAGTTGAGCCCCTCGACAATTTAATTATCTCCAAGGGAATCTTGGATTCGGCTAAGGACTCCATGAAGCAGACGATTTCAACTATGCTCGGGCTTCGTCCGTCCGATCAGTTTTCTGTCATGGTTAGGGTTTCAAAATAGCCCCTCGATCATCTCTTAATCTCCTCCATAGTCACAAGGTAATTTCACGATATTGTGTTGCTCAAATCGGCCTTGATTGAAACGACGTCGTTTCGTTTAAAGCTGAAATAAAAGAAAAATGAGCCACGTGTCGGCCCCAGAATGAAGCTCCCTAAACTCGCGTTTTCATATATATACTAGCATCCGTGCAAGGCACGGCCGGCCCACGTCAGAACTTTTCTTTCCCGCGAAAAAAATATTTTTTATAATCAAAAAATAATAAAAAATAATGAAGAAAGTAATTTATTGAAATCATAAACAAAAGATGTCACTAAATATACATCAAACACCTAAATTAAAGTAATCCACAAATGGCCAAGAATGAGGTAATAACTCGTTATAACGATTTTAGTTTAATATTTTATATTGTTTTTTGTATCATCTCTGGCAACATTAACATTTTTTTCTTCCATATAATTATATATATAAAAAAATGGCATGATTCTTAGTAGATTCTTAATTTTGTCAATTCCATTCCAACCCATTATTTAGGATCTCAAATCATAATCATGTGTTCAATGATAAACACTTGCTGAAAATTTGAATATCGAAATATACTCAAAACATATTTTGTTTCGATACTAAACGTCTCAAAGTAAAACTACAGAATCCCCACTCGAAAACCAACAACCAAAAACTAAATGAGACAAATCTTGAGTAACAATCCAAACAAATTAATTTATAACATCACTTAACCATCACCAGCAAACATAAAATAGTACTAAAAAACGTTAAATATAACCAAACAACCAATCATAATGAAATAAAAACAATAAATAACTGATGTAAAATACGAAAAAATAAGAACAAAAGATTTTTTTATGCTTCTGATCCTATTTCTATTTGTAGGACTGTAATTGGAAAGAAACATACAAAAAGGATATGACAATAGCATTGCTGAAAAATTGTAAGGCTTTGATATCATTCCTTCATTTTTTTCTTACAAGTGAAAAAAAAAAAAAATCTAAGAGAAGTTGTAAAACACATAAAATAGATAAATAATCAAGTCAAAGTTCAAAAGGCTGCTATTTTGATTGAGTTTCTTATGGTTTACTCTCAAATCTATCCAATAAGAGCATCTTTAGTAGAAAAACCTCATAAACCTCACTTTTACACTTCTCAATATGCCACATCATCAAAAACCTCATTCTTACTCCTACATCCATAAACCTCCAATAACAATAAACCCCATAAACCTCATTTTTCATGGGTCCCACATATTTCCCACTTACTTTTAATTAATATTATACTAATATATTTTTATTTATATTTTAAAACTATAACTCTTACTTTATTTATTAAATATAAATATTTTATATATTTATCAAAAATACATATAAAAAATATATAATTATATTTTATTATTTATAATTATGTAGTGTTAGGTGCATACGAATGTAAAATTTTATTTATAAAAATTACGAAACATAAAACTTACATAATGTTGAAAATTAAATTTTGAGTACAATTTTTATTTCTAAATATTAATTTTGGGAAGTAGGTTCATTCCAAATACGTTCAACCAAGTCGTGTCGAGTAACTCCATTTATTTTAAATCAAACAACCTTGATTTACTTATTTCTTTACTAGCAAAGTTTATTAGTGTTCGTTCTTGTTCGAAAATAGCTCGTTTTAAATTGTTATTTTTCGACAACAACCACAACTCGTTCTTATTTCAATTAATTGCTTTACATATTTTTTTCGGGCTGTCGAGTAACTCCATTTATTTTAAATCAAATAACCTCAGTTTTGATTCAATCGGTACATAGATGTATATGTATCTTCTTTAAGAAATTCAATTTATTACAATCATTTTTAAAATGTGAATATATGCTCTAAACCATATATGGTCTAGTGTGTAAATTTCCACTAATTTTTAAAAAGAATACTTTAGAAAAAAATAATATTAGAATTAACTATTGAATACTTTAAAGGATGAGAAATAATAGTATTGAGAAAAATAATAATACTGATAGAATATCAATATTTTATTAAAAATAAATCTTATTTTTTTAAAAAAAAGTAATAAGTTCTGGATATGTAAAAATGTGATGGGAACATTTCAAATATGTATAGTAGGCAATAATAATTTTTCTTGAAAGTTTTAAACGAGAAAAGAAAAAAGAAAATTAGATATATGACAAACAAAAAGGGATAATTCCCACATGGCATGTCAGCCAAGGCCCTTCACGCCAAATAAGGTGCGTGACATCACTTCCCTCTTTGCTGAATTGTTTTGAATTACACTTTCAAACTTTTGCAGCTTTTTTCTTTTTCTTTCTTTTCTATTATGCAGGTTTATAGGAGGTTTGGATTCACAACCCCGGTTTGAATTTGCAAACCTCAAACCTATGTCAAATAATAGATAAACCTCAAGGTTTGAGTTTGTAAACCTCTGCTTAAACCTGTTGATAAAGATGCCCTAAGTAATGTGGGTGGTAGTCCTATAAGGTATTTTTCACAAAAGACAAGTCTTTTCATCAAAAATAAAACTTCCATCCAGAGTAGTCTAGTCAATTAGCAAGTGAATGGATATGAATTCAACTAGTGAAAAACTAATTTTTTTTTTAGCTATAGTTAAATTTGAAAAAAAGTAGTATGGTTAATTGTTAATGGATATATTAAAATAATATTTAAATTAAAATAATTAAAGTTGATTTGATATAAAATTAGAAAAAAATGATTGTAAGTGATGGTTAGTTAAAATTATGTGAGTGGGTGAATAGTGAATTAAAGTTGATGTGATGTGTAATAATGATTGGTTGATATTATTTAATTATATTGATAATATTGGAGATAATTGAGTTGAGTTAAAGATGAGTTAAATTTGAGTTTTGAGTAGAATATTTACTGTACAAATTATATACAATCACGCCCTTAGTTACTGAGCGCTTAAATTTGACATTGCTCCTCAAGAGCATAAAACGATATATTTCACAACTTAGGGCGTGCTTGTTTATGAAATATTTCATTCAAAATGAGTTATTTTAGTTAACTAGAGTTAGTTTTGAAAAAGGTAGTATGATTAATTGTTAGTGGGATTTTAATAATATATTAAAATAATATTTAAAATAAAATGATTATTAATAATTTGATGTAAAAGTAGGATATAAAATTGGAAATGATAGGAAATGATAGGTAGTTAAAATTATGTGAGTGGATGAATAGTGAATTAAAGTTGATGTGATATGTAAGAATGATTGGTTTATAATATTTAATTATATAAATAATATAAATGATAGTGAGGTTGAGTTAAAGTTAAGTTAGAGTTTGAGTGTGAAATGAATTATTTCATAAACAAGCATGCCCTTAGCTTCACATGAAATGTGGACATAAAATTATGTCATAAACCAAACTTAAACAAATGGTCGACCCACAAAAACCCGTAACAAATGCATTGTTATATGATCTTATCTTACCTCATTGTGTGTTAAAGAAAGGTAAATAAAGATCATGCTGACAGCTTCAACTATTAGTGGTGCACATACGTTTGATCATGATACACGCCACACACCATATCGCCACACAATATATGAAACAATATATACATGATTGGATATTTTTTGTTCTGTTGGTGGTGTTTTCTTAAGATGTCTGCGCAAGAAACGTAAGTCAAAATATTAGAAAATGTGAACATCGAAATACCAAACCAAACAAAATATTGAGATTTTAAAATTAAAAGGAAATTACCTCTAAGGAGAAAACAGAGTCAAGGCCACACATTTTTCCTTATTTTCTGAGAACTATTGCAAGTTTCTTCAACTTTAGCAATTCCATTTTTTGTCCAACGAAAACCTGCCAATTCAAACCCACAGGAAAAAAAAAAAAGAAATGAAAAATCATATCATACACCAATCGAAGTAATTCAAAATAAATAAATAGCATATAAAAAAAATATGTTGTGCTGTATTAAAAATTCTAATATTTGATTCAGATTTATGCTCGACCAAAGACTGGCCTCGTTGGAACACTCACAGTCCATCCTTTCCTTTNCAATTTGAGTATGATGTTTTTAAAGACTCCCCGCTTAAACCTTAGCTCTTTGTATCAAATTCAATTGAGCTGTGTCACTCAATCCGCCGCTGAACACCAGGAGGCTGTAGCTCTGCCATAAGTACATGCGTTCTGCCGACCGAAATCCCGAATTCGCCAGCAACAGCTTATTCTTTGGGCCAGAAACGGCTGAGTTGCGCGTTTTGAGCTGAGCGGAGGGCGTCGATGGTCGATATCTCCAATTCCCCTACTGCGGGCACACACAATTTTGACAGCCACTACAATGTGCTCGGCAGCTGAACAAGTTTTAAGCATCAGAATACTTCAACAAGGTCGATAAATGCTCCAAAACTCGTTCAATGAACCAAAACGTCAAAACCCTCAATTTTTCTCTTTAAACACAGGCATAATATCCAAACCACCCAAACACAGAGTGCACAAGCCTCTTTTTGAGACGTCTAATGAAATGAAAGAAGATATTTTGACAGTATTAACAAAAAACTCTAACCCAGAAAGACCCTAAACCATCAACCCCAATTATTTTGACTAAGTTGTAAATTTATTAAAATCAATCAAAAGATATATATAACTCACCGAATATATAGGATCGAGATTCTGGCGAAGAGGCTTACGATTCCATTTGAAAAGAATCGTGATTCCAACGATTATGAGATTTTTCCTCTCGCAAAAACCTCACGCGACCGCCAGCTCTTTAGATACCATGAGCTAAATTCCGCAGAAATGGATCCGAACCATCAGAGCCCAGAATTGGATATGATGAAATTGAAATCGGTTCCCCTCCAATCCATGGCCTCGAGCTCGTCGTGCTTCAATCTGTCTGGCCTGCTCAAGAGCCAGAGAAAATTGCTCTCGCCGTTCACACCAAAGAGCTCGCCCTAGACGACCATGGAAAAATCAGAGCCGAACGGGAAAGGAAAAAAAAATAAACAGATCTTTTGCAAAGGAAATATGCACACGGGATTGAAATTTCAAGAGGAAACGGCTGACACAAAAAGGGCGATGACATCGTCTTTGAAGAATTGGACACGAATGAGTAACATCCAGTAGACAAAATACACCGTTTGCTCTAACCAGAGACGCACCGTTTCGCATAAGATACGGCGTCGTTTCGAAGTAAGGCGACGTGGCCTCACCAAATTGCAGGAACACATGTCAAATAAGGAGGCTCTCACCTCCTTTTTTATAGATAAGAGAATAAATAATAGATATGAGAGAACTAGATGGCTCTGGCTGTGCCTAGCACAGCTAGTTTGGCCCTGTCGTGTTGTTTTGAAAGACATTGTATATTGTCTTTATTCAAAAATTACTTCCTGTAAAAAACTTAATGTAAAAATAATGGTGTGTAATTTTATGAAAACACAACAAAAACACACTCCCAAGAACAAAAAAATAACAATTAAAGCGAAGATGCAACAACTTCAATAAAAACAAATAAAGACCAACCCAAATACACAATTACAAAGTCACAAAACGAGTTTAAATTCAACAAATTGGAACTTCTTTCATTTCTGGAGCAATGTTTTCAAACTTCCTTTGTGGTCTTGAATTCAAATCTCTGCCCTTTGTCAGGCTAGTTAGTATCAACGTCTTGTCGATGTAATCGCCTCGTAGTCTGTGATGTCCTCATTCAACGTACCCATTAAGTATTGCTTTAATGGTGACCCTTAAATCTACCTTCCATCCAACGGTTAAAAACATGTTGTCTAATGAGCTTACCCTCTTTTAATCACAATCGTTTATTTTGACCATGATCCAACGGTTATGCTCGGCCTATCTTTTCAACTTTGCCATTTTAATCTTGACCGTTGATTTCGACCACGATCTAGCGGCTCTGCTGGACCTGTCCCTTCAACTCTCCAAATTGATCTTGACCGTTGATTTAGACCATGATCCAACGGCCAGGGTCGGTCGACCTTCGAGATTCTTCCATCTATGAATACACCACTTTGCCTCTTCTTTTTTTCGGTTTCCCACCATTGCAAAAATTCTCTTAAGATTATTTGTACTCTCCCCGCTCTCTGCAAATAAAAAACCTAAGTTCTGTCGTGCTTCGCTGCTTTCTGCAATTTTTCGAAGAAATCCACACCACCTTCGATGATGTCGATGAGTAAGTTATCTTTATCTTTCACTTGTTAATTTTTCATGCACAACTTTTGTTGTTATTTCTTTCTTGCAAAAATCCCACTGTGAATTCTTCCTACCTAACCCTCACGATAGGATTGAGATGAAATCTATTCCCCGACCTAACCCTCATGTTAGGATTGCTAGAGTTCGAAAGTCGAGCGACTTCAATCGAGCCAAGCCTGAATGGATTGAAAATTTTTTTTATCGTTTTGGTCTATCTGTTG